CCTGCTGAAATTCCTGTCCTTATGTGTGGGAACTATGAACAAAACTCCAAACATCTGAAAATAAAACTAAAAAGCCACATTTCGAGGCAGCTGCTAGATCTTTCCACTTGTTACAAAGAGGGCATACGTAGGGGTGCATGACAGTTTTAGCCAGGAAGTGAAAGGGACACTTGATTGCCTGCATCATTCACCTTGCAGCTATTAGGCGGACCCTTTCCTGGGACTCTGCACCCCTGTCCAGGCACAAGCCTGACTTCTGCCTCTTACATTCCAATATTTGCCCTGGACTCTTTCAACGGCAAGAAGCATCCCACAGACTGGGAAGGTATGCTTAGGAAGCATGAGACAAAGAAATGATCACAGTGTTTCAGCAAGTCACCAATCAAGTAATGCCCCTTGTAATTCTGGAAACCAGAAAGGACCAGTAGAACGGGTACACCATATCTCTAAAAGCAGAGATGAATGCAGAAGTCATTCTCGAGGAAAAAAAACTGCCCAGATAATGACAAGGGCAGTATCTCTTCATCATCTGGAACAGACCTGGAGTGGTCACTTGCACAGACACTGGCTCATAGGTCTCCTAATAAAGTCAGCCAGATCAGTTACTCTCCACTGGTAGAGCCAAACTATTTTGTCACCGAACCAATTCTAGCTGTCTGAATGACAAAAGTGGTTTTTATTACTTATGCCACCTGCTGTTTGCCTTCTTAGCTCAGCCAGTGTAAGTCTGTTTTCATTACACATTCTTTCTACAAACAAGTAGCAACTTACAAGAAATATTCGGTCATTTTACTGCATTCCTCCTGGAATGCATTGAAGTGATTCACGATACCTTTGCACACTTGTTCTAGGATTTGAAGAACACACAATAAATAAAGCATGACTCAGCAGTTGGCCTTTAAAGGCTCAGAGCTTGACGAGTTCATAGCTTTTACGACTTCTTAAAAATTAGGTCTTTGTCTATTTATATGGCCACACAAGAGCAGAAGAGGAGAAAAATCACTTGAGGAAGAAAAAGAAGTTAGAAACTAAGAACGAGAACAAGCGGTCAGCAAGCAAGGGATTCCTGGACTTATGCAGAACCTAATACACTTAAAACTTCCAATCTGATATTGGATCCTTTTATTGAGGTTGACAATTTCAAGTTGAGACTCTGAATACAAATTCTATATGCCTAGTTACTCTATACATGCATGGAAACTGATCTGGAATATAAATTTCAACACACCCAGGTCAAACCCTAGAAACGTAAAAATTTCTGCTCGAGCACGCATACACAGCTCTGCAGCCTGAGCAGGAAGCGCACAAAAGCCCTCCAAGAGGTCTGGAAATTAAGGCAAAAGCAATGCCAGGCTCCTGTTCCTTCTTAAGTTAGGAACCTTCTGGGTCAGCACAGATATTAAGCATAAGGATATTCCAAAAAGTGTGCATTAGCAGCAGTGACAACTCACGGAAACGTACTTTTGGCAGCTTCCAGGTCCCAAACTCGAATGGATCCTGACTGGGACCCTGCAACAATGAGTTCCTCATTCGTGTTGATCTGTAGGCTCTCAACGGGCGTTGTATGGCCTGTCAGGCTCTGCAAAGAAAACCACGAGTCACAACCCTCAGCTACTGACACAGCCCTGTCCACTCTGCATGGGTAACTGCAGTACTTAGCCACAAGTTGGAACCACCTGTTTGTGTCACTGGTCCTTTTTCCTCACCAGCTACCAGTATGGTAGAGCATCCTAAAGACCATCCCTGCATACAGCACCGTGCACGTATCTTCCACCTTATCCCACTTTCTGGGGCACACTGACTAACTTTTAAAGTATGTGCCTACAGAGACATGGGCAGTTAAACATTAGGTGCGGGTGCCCAGACAAGGCTGACACATGCTTGCGTTATAAAAATTATGCTGTGCAAGCGCAATGGCACCATGTTTACTCTAAATGGGTCGCGTTAAGTGTCATGAACCGGTTACAAAATCAAAGCAAGAGCAAAACCAGGGCTACTTCGTAACCTTCACTTAATCAAGGAGCCATATATTGCTGCCAGCAATGCGTGTCACAGTGATAACGTGGTGCTGTTGCTGAAGTATTAACTTGAGGCATAAGGTAGTAATTCACATGGATGCAGTTCCTTTCATCCTTGCGCTTCTAAAAGCTTACAAATCCGGTAAGTGTTTTGAAAAGGCCAGTATTCAGTTAAAACACAAGAATACTTAAAACTAGTTCTAGAAAACCAATCAACACGCATACCACTCTTGCGGACTTTTTCCTTGTCAATTAAGCAATATTCTATGCTTTATTCCATCCTCAAACAGGTCTTTTTAAATAGCTAAGCCAGCTCCATGCCTCCCACACACGTAGAGAGGCTGGGAACGCCAGCTGAAAGCTGCTGGTTCTGATGGGGCTTTCTTAGCACTCCATGCGCAACTGACATCCTCTACGTACTCTATAGCTGCGACTGTCACTGCTTAGTGAGAAACGGAGCTCACGTTTCAAGCAAAGCTACAATGCTACTTGAAAAGTTCTCCCTCCTCCCCAACACAAACTTCTGTAAGCACTAAAGATGAACTTCACAGCACAAAATGTACAGCACAACCCCAAAAATCAAGATTCTTTTGATATACAAGAATGGCACAAGCCCTCAGCAGCTCCAGTCAGTCCCTTCCCCTCAGAAACATCATCTGCTAATGCCCGTGGCTCCCAGGCAGCGCAGGGGAGGTACAGCTCTCTGCTCCCACACAAAGAATACGGAGACATTTAGTCCTTTAACCCTCCCTCTCGTGGAAGGCAAGACTTCGGTTTCAAACTACTGTCATGCCACCACCGAGGATCTGGGAAGACACAGCTTGACTATGCTATGCAAGAAGCACAGCACTGCCAAAGGTCAGCAACTCCTTTCGCACCCATTTCAATCTCTTCACACTTGACCTCAGGAAATGCACAGAAAAATAAAGCAGATGCATTCTCCTCAGTCTTTTTGACCCTGCTTTCCTGATTTCTTCCTCACAAGGTTCACACTGGCTACAGAAATGCCTTCCATAACACAACATCATTGTGTTGTTAATTAAACAAGTGACTAGCGACACTTGCTGAAGACGGTTTTCCACAACACCCACTCAAAGTAAAAGCGATGCAGGACAGACATCTGTTAAATGTATTTATGGTGTGCTTTAGTGATCACTACTGGGGTAACCCTACTCCTGCTAACATGCTGCGCCCAGCCTACAGGCAAATCAGCAAACTACTGACAAACTCTGTGCTCACGGTTAGTGACTGTGGGACAGGCAGGAACGCATCCTGCTGGGGACTTTTCCTGCTGTGAGGGAAAACTCCCTGGTATAAAACTGGCCCCTGTAGCTTGCTCTATCAAACTAGCTGATCTCATACAAAACTCCGCATTTAATTACCTGTAGCCTGGTAACAGAAGGCACAATACTTGTTATATGAGCAAGCACTGGCCCAGCTGAAGCAGCCAGCCATCCCAGATTCTCTCCGGAGCAGCGGGCTCACCAGTTACCAAACTCTGTCCCTATATTTAGCTAGAATCCAGTCACCCAGCATTGTCTATTCACAAGTGCCACAGGCTACAACCCAACAATTTTTCTGCTCATTCCCCACCCTCCATACCTCAGAATTAATATTCCCATCCCCCAGAAGCTGAAAACAGGCCTGTTCTTACCATGATGCAGTTGGGCTTGTTAACTGACCATATGTTGACCCGACAGTCATCTCCTCCTGTTGCCAGCAGCCGGCCTGAACTTCCCAGGACTAGTGAGGACACATTGCTGCTGTGAGCCGTGATCTCTTCTGCACAAAACAAAGCAAATAGTTATTACAGACTAGTATCACGATTTTCATTTCATCCCTCCCAAAGCACTAGAAAAATATTCTTCCTCCAGAAAAACCTTCCAGTTTCCACTGGACAAGCTGCAGCAGCCCACAGTTCAGATAAGAAGTCGCACTATTATCTTGCTTGAAACAGCCCTTCTCGGCTCTGCCTGCTGTACTTAAGACATTTGCTGACCAAGCTTCACAACTCCAGTGCTCACGTGGCTTACAAAAAGCATCCTCTCTCACTAGCAGCAGCTTTGTAGCTTTTAAAGATTTGCTCAGCTGCGGTAACCTGCTCACAGAAGCTTCTTTACCTTCAATAACCGAGTGAGTCTCAGGAAGCGGAGCTGTCTCAGAAGCTGCAGTAATACAGAGCGGCCAGAGTCATCCAGCGCAAGGCCCTGGAATCCCGCTCCAGAAAGCGGCAGCAGACTGTCCAACCCAAGAGGGACTGGCAGATTAGCCGCGGCACAGTTTGTTACCTTCCACAGAAAAAGTCAGACTCAGCAGCAGGGATAGGTGGAGCTTCCTTCTCTGAGCTTTGGCAGAGGCTTTGCTACGTTCCCACTATGTAACACAGGTGAGACTTCGCAATGCAAAGTGTGGAATTGTGACAAAGGAAGGATAAGTATATATCCAAACATGCACAAAAAAACAAATACGATTGATACTAAAAGACAGTTGAAAAACTGGGGGCTGGAAGCTCTGACACCAAGAGGGCCTCACAGTGACAGACTCATCAGAAAGAAACAAGTCTGGGGCAGAAGAGAAGCCAAACGAGCATCTTTGCTTAGACAGCTGATTTTCACAGTGGATTTTTAAATCTACTCAAGTTTTTGGCAGGGGCTTTTGGCAGATGTATTTACCAATTCCTTCCTCTTACAGTTCTCTTCTTTGAAAGTTCATGGGATTTGCATGCCTAATAGTTAAGAAACTTGTTTGTAAAAAGGCTAGGTAGCAATCGGTTCAGTTTCTGTTTGGATTGTTTTGGTGTGAGGAGCAATCTGATTACTGTACATGCAACACTAATCCAAAAGTATATGAGATGGCTGCAATAACAATTACACGTACTTTGATCTCAAGCTCTCAGAGTGCTTTTTCGAAAGTAAAAATGGCCAACTTTCACTTTGGTTGGAGAAACACCTTTCAAATTACAAAGGTAACTGGGCCATAAATTACATGAGAAGGGCAAATCTGAAAATGTGCTTGTATTGTGTTGAAAGACCAATCCTCCATATGACAATGCTAAAGTAATGTATGTATACAACAGTACAATTAGTCTTAATAGACCAACTCACTAGTTAGAATTGAAAGGACAGATGCTGAGCATTGCTGCTGAAATCAGTGCGTCAGCAGCTCCACTTTTTCCCTCCTCTTGATTTCGTTCTTAATGATGTACTGTGAGTTTAAAAGGCATTGCTGAAGCATTCAACTCTCTCTGTTCATAAAAGCCAGGTTGTAGCCTCACGCCAGCCTTGGCCAGATAGCATCATCCCTTTCCCCAGTGAAGTGCCAATTTCCTCACACCCACAGACTTGTTTTTTTATGGAGTATTCGTCACCAGACATCACCCACCAGCTCAGTCACACTAAGCTCCTAATCAGCATCACCGAAACATTTCTGACATTCAGAACGCTTCTTGCTCTAAAGAGTATTCTAACATAGGGCAAAGCCTAGCAAAAATGAAGATCAAGAACTTCTGCCCACTTGAGAAAGCAGATTGATCAACTTCCAGCTTCCAGCTGGAGTTTCAGGGATGGGTGGATAACACAGCAAACTGGTTTCCTCTCAAAAAGATACGAAGTCACTAAGACAAAGAAAGATCTTGGCTCCCTTAACTTGTTACCAGTCAAGCACACCGTGTTTCTGCTAGTCGATTTCTAGACCCCGAGTCACCGGTCCAAAACCTGCTCTTCTGAACAACTGATCGCTTCCCAGTGCTTCTATGCAGTCCTCGACAGCCCCTGCGAAATCACCCTTCAGTGACCAGCGAAGCAGCCAGAAAATGACAACCAGCAACTGTGCACTGCTCCTGAGAAAAAACCACGGATGTCAAAGCAGCAGATTCTCACTGTCTCTTGCAAAGCAATTTCAATGGAACAGGACGCCCAGGCCCTTCGAAGACCCCCTCACCCTCCTGCAGCAGAGTGTAACAAGCCAGCAGCAGCGATGGACAACCCCGACGGGGCTGGCCTGGGACCCAGGGGACC